TTTATTTAGGGAGTGACTAACGTTGAAGCCAGTTCTCACCACCCACCAGTAGCTGCCAGTGTTAAAAAAACCCACAAAAAAACAAGTGAATGTGAAACTACTTTAGTAAAGCAATATTCAGCTACAGGTTTCTGTAGTGCTGGTGGTAACTGGTGTGAGACAATCAGACACAATTCAATTAATGTTCAAACCCTCATAAAAACATTCATAAGGCTTCCAAAGCAAAGACTAAACACTTCAATTTAATGTCAATTTATCAGAAGATGGAAACAATGGTATCTACTACTGATATGACGGTTTTATACTTGTATAAAACATTATGTTGAGTATTGGTTCATCATTCATTTAAAAACACTGGAAAAAAAACACCAGTAATTTCCATTTGCAAAAGGACTTAAAAAAAAAAAGAATTAAACATAAAAGTTTAATTCACCAACTTTAAAGGAATTATGCAGTAGCAGCCCGCTTCAGTCAGCTAATGACGAGGATGTCGTTTTGTGGTAATGAGTACATAAAGAGGGAGCTCATGACTCGTTACTGAGGAGAAGAGTCTTGGATATTTACCTCACAGAAGGATTAAATGATGAACTTGTACTCAGTGTGATGTTATCGTTCCCTCAGGATTTTATTTTTTGGTCGGATGCATTCTGCTGCCATGTTTGTATATTCTTTAGACCTGGAGGGATCTGTACTCGGGTTTTTGAAAACACCTGACCAGGTTCAACTTGTCAAACATGACGGAAGCCGGACCACATCCAGTGGTTTTTAAGTGGAAATACTGCGAGCAACTCTGAACCAAAGCACGGCCTAGAAAACGAGCAACACGAGACATGCAAGATGCATGCAGATAAGAGTCGGTGCACAGTGATCAGCTCTTCATGACAAAGGAAAAAAATCTATAAGAACAAAAGTAATAATAACACTAAACTAAAACTAACAGAATAACATTAAAAAGTGAAAATTACAAATTAAATCATCATTCTTAGAGTGAATTAACTAATGTTCCATGACATCTGGATCCATCCATTTTTTCCTTTTTAAATATGGTTATACAGCTCAAAATAAAATCTTTGTATGTAATCTTTCTAAAGAGTCCTGAGTACATCCTGGGCTTCCTTCTTGTAGTGCATAGAGGTGCCCAAACCACTTCACCTGGCTCCTTTTTATGTGGAGTAATAGCAGCTGTATTCTGAAGCCCTCCCAAACGACCAAGCTCCGCCCCCTCATCTCTTAGGGAGAGCGCAGATGGACTCTTAAGCGCTTCCTCCTTAATCTCCCCTAATGCACATTTCCAACAAACCAGGAGTTTCCAGTCGTTTGTAAAACCCTCCACATAAGTCCGGATTAAAAGGAGTCTCGAGTTCCACCTGGGGATCGCCATGTTAAACCAGCACTACCCAGATTCACCTGAGTCCCCCTCCCTTCCTGTTTCTCCAGCAGGTTTCCTCCTTTATAGAGAAGGATCCAAACCTGCACCAATCAAGTACTCCCAGAACTCCAAATAGCTGGCAGCTGGACTGCTCCCACATGGGTTTGGCCTTTATCCCAAACAGACACGCAACAAAATCAAAAGCACACAATACTTGAAGCATAAAACAATCCTAACCCAGTGTACAGTGAGATCCTCTATATTATTCCACCAAAAAACAAAGATTAAGACAAAGATTCATCCATCATATCTTTTTGAACAGTATAAGTATGTCTGTTTCCAGAACCTCTGAAAGATTTGGACCACAGAGCAGTAAGACAACCACTGTACATGCAGGCAGAGTCATATGTAACCACCAGTCACAGCTTTTTTCTTTGCATCCACGCAAAGTCCTTTTCAAAGAGAACATAGTAAGAAATAAAGCAGTGAATAAAGCAACTTTTAACAGACTGTATCACTGCATTATTCATTGTGACTTTAAGAATGTATGTTTTGGTAGAAGGTGTCAGTTTACTGAGGAAGCAAATACCTGCAGCCTGACACCTGTGAACAGTCGTGGTTTCCAACAGGAAACTTTTTGGGGTTTGTTTGCTTTTTGAATTTCCATTCCAGTTGCATGTGGTTTGAGCTGCGCATCATTTGTCTACACCCGAACCTGTGAGAACCACACCAGCACCTTCCAAATACTCAAACTTTGCATTTCTTTTAAGATGCTCCAATAGAATCACTCATTATGTAGTTTGTGAAGCAGTTTTTCAATTAAAAAAAAAACAAAGTACTGAAACAAGTTTAAGGACTCTGAAATAAAAGTATTAATTGTGCTCAGGCAATGAGAGAAAGAAAAATTGGCATTAAAATATCCTTAAAGTAGCTAAAGTACAGTAAAGGCATCGATTATTAGTATAATATATCAATAATATTAATTTTTTAAATTGTGACTGTTTATTGTAGGTTGTTAATATGAATTTCACTGTAAAGCTACAGCTGGAGATGGCTTTAATC